TAAAATCTCTTTGTGTCATATTTCATCTTTTATTTATTAGCCAACAGTGAAGCTTCATTATTCAATCTTAATCCAGCAAATTGAAATCCATGCTACCAAATCATTGTTCTGATTTATTATTTGTATATCCCTTTTAACTATTAAAACAGCAACTGGTTTCATTTGTAAATCCATATAACAGCTTTGTCAATATCATTCTAGTAGCCTGTCAATTTTAAATGCATATCCAAAACAGCCTAATTCAAAGTTTTATCCTCTCCTCTTTTGAGTCTATTTTTACAGAAAGTTCTGAGTATACTGTTGCCAAAAATCCTTGAATTCTTCCAGTTACTTTTCTCTGTTCTGTATTAGTTGGTTTTCTCCTTTAATTCGACAACAGGTATTTCTCTGCCCATAACCCCAACTGTAGAGCCTCTCTCATGAGGACTTTGGACCTTGTCCCCCCTTGCCGGTTGACATGAGCCTTTGCAGCCATGTTGTCCGTAAGGACTAGAACATGAGAGTCAGTCACTGAGTGCCTGAAATGCTTGAGAGCCAGAAAAATTGCTCTTAGCTCTAGCCAATTTATGGGAAGGATCTGCTCTGACCTGGACCAAACGCCCTGAGCTATCTGGCCCTGCATATGGGAACCCCAACCTATGAGGCTGGCATCGGTGGTTATCACTAGCCTGTCTGGGACCCTGAACAGGAGTCCCTTCCAGATTGATGGGGAACGCCACCAATTGAGAGATCTCTGGATTTGTGGCAGGAGCGGGACCTTGATGGATGAATGGCTAGTTCCTGCTCATTGGTAGGGAAGCAGGAACCACTGGAGCGGTCAGGAGTGGAGCCAAGCCCACAGGATGATGCCAATACAGGAGACCATCTTCCCCATTAGTTTGGACAGCAGTGACAGAAGGACAGCTTGATGTGGCTGGATCTGGCTGATGATCTCTGCAAGGCTCTTTCCACGATCTGGAGACAGGAAAACCTGGCACAATGTGGTATCGATGACTGCTCCCAAGTGTTGCAATTTGGTTGTGGGAGAGAGCTGGCTCTTTTTGGTATTGATGGAAAATCCGTGGCTCTGGAGGTATGACAGGGTAATCTGAAGATCCCGATGGGCCGCATGAATGGAGGACAGAATCAAAATGTCATCCAAGTAGCATTGGATCCTCACTGGAACAGAACACAGAGATGCCATCAATGCTGCCAGAACCTTTGTGAAGACCATTGGAGCCGATGAGAGGCTGAAGGGAAGTGCTCGATACTGGTAATGGGTATTCTGATAACAGAAACGGAGAAACTGGCAATGATGAAGCCAAACGGGGCTGTGGAGGTAAGCCTCCGTGAGATCAATGGAAAAGAGATCACCCTCCTGAACGCTGTCTAAAATAGAATGCAGAGTCTGCATTTTAAATCGCCTGTATTTTACAAACTGGTTGAGAAATTTTAGATCAAGGATGGCGCGCCAACCCCCCCCCCCCCAGGGAAACAATGAAAAGGCGAGAATAAAGCCCACGTCCCCATTGAGAGGGGGGAACAGGTTGAATAGCCCTGATTTCAAGAAGGTGTTGAATGGCCTGATTCATGAGGGCTTGCCTTGAAATGTCCCGAGAGACAGGACAGATCAAAAAATTTTCTGGGGGTGGCATTGGAAAGTCCAATTGTAACCCTGACCTAATAGTGCTGAGCACCCAGGCGTCCATCGTTAACTCCTCCCATTTGGAGGCAAAGAAGGCTAGGTGACCTCCGATGGGTGGGGAGAATGAGGGATTACTTAGAGTGACGGAAGGAATGACCCCCTCCCCCCCGAAAGGGCCGTTTACCAGTAGAAGGTTGTTGCCTGCCAGATGCTTCCGCACGTTGGTCTTGGCATTGGGAGTAAGGCCTCTGAGAGCGGGGAAAGCGGGATGAGGTCTCCGCTCAAAAGGCAGGAGGGTGATAAGGAGCTGGGCGATAGTTGGCTTTCTTCCCAGAGGAAGAGAGAATTTTATGTTTATCTCTGGTTTCGATGAGATAAGGTTCCAGAGCATCGTCAAAAAGCTTATCGCCTGCGAATGGAACTTAAGCCAGCTTCCATTTTCAGCATGACTCTGCCTGCCAATTTCGGAGCCATAACATCTTCTTGCTGCTACTGAAGATGCCATGGCCCTAGATGCAAATTTGGCGGAATTGAGAATGGCATCCGCAGTGAATTCCGCCACTGCGATAATCTTATTAAAGTCTTGGTGAGACCGAAGGTCAGAAGCAGGCAATCTATTCTGGAATTGGCACAGCCACCATATGGATGCCCTCGTGAAAAAGGATGCTGCTGTTGAAGCCCGAACAGCCCATGCAGCGACCTGGTGATTGCGCTTGAGGGTCTGTTCGGAATGTTTAGCATCCGGTTTCAGGATATCTTCTGGCTCTGTGGGAGTGCCAGAAGATGAGAATGAGGCCAGAACCGGAATGTCAACAGAAGGCACTGCCAGGGCATTGTCCAGGGCTGGGCTGATGTTGTAGAAACGCTTATCCAGAAAAGATGGGCGAGGACCTGCCGAAGGGGAAGCGCACTGTTCCTTGACCATGTCCAGGAACAAAGTGGGAGAAGGCAAAACCTCTGCATGCACTACAGGCTTGGAGAAGAGTGAGTCTCCCTGGCTAGAGGGATTTCCTAGTGGCTCAGAAGCCACTTCCTCCAGTGACAGCTTAGCAATGACCAAGGCCTTGCTGAGTAATGGCCTGAAGAGAGTAGGTTTGAAGACCAATGCAGAGGATGTCTGTTCTGGGCGAGAATCCTCTTCCTCTGAAAGATTTTGGTCAAAAATCTCGCCTTCTTCACGCTCTGAACGAGAGGAGTAACTGTGTTCAAATGGTGAAGCCCTTCCTTCTTCATCAACCTCCTCCCATTCTGATAGAGAAGAATGGACCCTGAGCTCCTGGGACCTGTGTAAATCAGGGTGATGAGGCAAAGAACTTATAGATTGAGAAGGGAGAAGGGCCTGAACCCTTTCCAAAAGTCGAAGAATTTGCTTGAAGCCTTCAGCCAATCCCTGCCTAATGGCCAATGAGACAACATCTTGGATATCCCCTGGTCTATGCTCAAAGGTAGAGGCAGAAGGCCGAAGGCCCGCTACTGTGGGAGTGAAGGTGACTTCAGGCCTAGATTGAGAAGAGGTTCGAGGCCGGGAGGGAGGGGGAGGAGCATAGGGCCCAGGAGCCTGTTGGAAATAGGGCCCAGATCTGCTGAGATCCTGAAGATCTGATTGTTCTGCAAAAGCCTCAGGAGACCAGGATGGAGGATGAAAATGCTCATAGATAACTTCTCCTCCCCTGGGAAGGCTTGGCTGGGGCCCATGGGTATCACCTGAAACATGCTGTAATTACACTCCCTTCTGTTGAATAGTTCTGTTGAACTGCCTCTCCAGGGTTGCATGTCTGCGCTTCTCTGCCCTCAATTCAGCCTGGGTTCCCTTCTTAGGGGCTAGAGCCTTAGCTCTGATTTTAGCAGCCACCTCCCTCTGGACTGATTGGATATGTTGCCTACGTATTTTTCTCTTATTGGGCTTAAGAGACCGTTCCACTGGGGGGGTGGGGAGCTCTGCCTGAGCCTTATCTTGCTCCATTTGTAGAATAAAGGCTCTTGCGTTGGAAAGAAACTGTTTAGAAATTTTTTTTATTAAGTCCTTTAGGGTATAAAATGGCCACCGGGCTTACAAAATGGCCACTCACCTCATGGTGGAAGGCTTCAATCCAAGATGGCCACTGACTAGGGGAAACAGGCTCCGAGATCGAAGAATCGCTCCTTAGGCTATAAAAAGCCCCGAGTGAAGTCAGCAAAGGAAAACGCAGCCGCCGGCCACACGATCAGCTGGCTGACGCTATCGGTTTGCCGATCGTTTTTTACGATCGCTCAAACCGCGGGCATGGGGGAGTTCTGCAGACGCTGCCCAACTTGCCTGCACAGCGCTCTGGCAACGCTGCTCCCAACGTTGCAGGAGAGAGAGCCCTGCTCTCCTGGAAGAGCAGCTGCCCAGATCCCTGAAAATCGCTGGTGATTGCTATCTAACAGAAACGCTTTCAGACACACAGCTACTGACTGAAAGGAGCTGAGTCAAAAGCTGGGGTCTCTCCCGGGGGCTAGCTTTTATATCTTAGTACAGACTCAGCTAAATGACATCATAGGAAGGAGTCAACCCATCCTGGGCTCTCGATGCAGCACGGAGGAGAACAGGAACTATAGCAAAAAAGCTTCACTAAGAACATTTAAAAAGCAGAAGCAAGAAACAGACTCCTTGCAAAGAAAAACCCCTCTTTAATTACATCTTGGGAATTAACTGCATTCACCAACAGAAAGTACAGGCAAGAGTCCTACAAGTAGTTAACTGAAGTAGTAGTCCTTTTTAGCTTGTTAAGATAAATGCAAGGCTGTGAGCTTCAAGCTGGGAGGCTGCAAATTAAATCAAAGAAATAGACAAACCTCAGTTCTAGCAAGGCAGTCTTTGTGCCATGAATCACACAAAGAGCAAACTTTCTAGAAATACAAATGATTGTCTGCTATAACCACCCCTCCCTTTTCCTCCTATTTATTCCCCAGCCAGGGAGGGCCATTCAGCATCATTTGTTTTGTTTCCCAAGCCGACTCATTGTCCTCCGTTGTTCACCTCTCCTATCTGCTCTGCGCATATGTACATCTGGAACAGGCCCCAGCTGTTCCTCCTCCTCACTCATCTCCGACTCCAAAGGCAGTTGCCTCTCCAGTGGCTGGGAAATGTTGGATAGCCCTAGCCCGATGCTGAGCATCTATCAGAGCCTTCCCCAGGCTCCAGAACTGGCCCAAGTTCTTTCCCAACCTCTTCATCATCAGAGTCTGTCCCCAGCTCTGCTGGCAGTGCTGCTGAATTAAATTAAAGGGCAACTATGCAGTTTCACATCCATTTACTTACAAGAGCCAATTAAATTTCTATGAAAACCCCTTAAAATGAAATGTTATATAACATTCAAACTAGCTTATTTAACATGTTTCCCATGTTACCTACCCACTTTTGTTGTAATGCTGCTCTTTCTCTTTTCCTCTGGATCTTTCCTTCTCCCTTGCTTTCTCTTTATCTCTGCCTTTACGTCTTTCTTTCTCACGAGACCCACTACGAGTTCTCCTGCGACTAGTTCTTTCACTGCTGCGACTGTATGATCGTTGTTGTGGTCTGGAATGTGATCTACAATTAGAAATATCAACGAAAACCATGTAAAAGAACAACTACAAAAATAATTACAATAATTTTAATACTGTTATTCACTTATTCTTAAACAGTTTGTTCATAAATATGTATTTTTTAAAAGATGCAGATAAAATTAAGTATGTGAAAACAAACCTAGAAGAGATTAATTATCAAGCATGAGGCAACAAGTATATCACAAGCAGGGAATTATCATTTCCTTCAGAACATGGAGAAACAAGAACAGGAAGCCATAACAAATTATCATACCAAAAGAAGCTCCAGAATGAACTAATTTAAAAGAATATTGTTTATAAAAGAATAAGAAAGACCCAAGCACAAAAATAATTTGATGATAATTTAGGATTTTTCAAACCAGGTCCAGTGAACCCTCTAATTCTGTCAGAGATGACGTGCCAAAAAAACATTGAAACTTTTAAACATAGCCCATTTTCTATCACCCAAGCTTTACCTTTTGAACAGAGGTTCTGGGAATTTTTGTTTTAAAACTAAGGGGTTCAGCAGCTTCAAAATGTATGAAAATCCCTGCCTTAGTTAATAACGGGAAAATTTCTCATCCTCTTTTTTTCCTTTTACAGTATCTACGCTCCTTCTGAATCCTGTCTAGAAGAGTAAAAGCTAATCTTGAATTATATGAGATATGCAAAAATAGGAGAATTGCATTTAGTTTGGGACAATACTTCTCTCTGAGTTTTCCCCTAGTTAGAAGGTTACTGATGATAACTTGTCTTCTTTTAAGTACAACTTTTTCTAGTTTCCTATCTAGAAACTAGAAAACTAGACCCTAGTTTCCTGGATCACGTGAGATACTAAGAACAGCAAAAAAAAGGTGTTTTGAAATATATAAAGGAAAAAGAAAGGAGTCAATATACCAGCTTCTCATTAAATGGAATAAAACGCTAATAGCTAACAAAAACAAAAAACTAACTCAGCTCCTATTTTGCTTTAATAGAAGGATGCGCTTTTCATCAGGCAATTGCAAAGAGCGGAAAAAAGTATGGGATTTATAGAAATATGGTCAGGGAATCTATATTTACTTTGAGCAAATTGAAACTTACCTTTAAACAATATGAAGGTTTCAGCTGGTAGTTTAGTAAAATATTTCTTTAATACCGCTCAGAAATCTTATAAAGATGTGCCAAGCAATTGGAAGAGGGCAACTGTTTCCTTATCTTATAAGAAAAAAAACAAAATGCTGCACTGGACATTTGCAGTAATATGAGAATGGACAATGCATGAACATTAGCTACATTAGAGAGATAGCAGAGGAAAGAAAGAAATGGAAAAATCGAGAAGGGAGGCAGTGAGTCAAACTTCAGCTGCAACTAAGCAGAGATGGTATTCAGCAGGTTCTGACCAGTTCTGGAAAACCAGTAGCGGAAATTTTGAGTCGTTCGGAGAACCGGCAAATGCCACTTCTGACTGGAGATTTTACAGTATTCTTCCCCTGCCACACCCACCAAGCCACGCCCACAGAACCGGTAGTAAAAAAATTTGAATCCCACCACCGCAACTAAGATAAAGTTGATACCCAAGTATGTAAGCTATATAAGAGGTGGGGATGTTGGGAACCAGTTTTCAACTACTTTGCTATTTAAAATCACTTTAAGATAAAACAGATTTTATTTTGACTAAACCCTGGCATAAACCAAGTTTTGATTCTGTTAAATCACAGCTCATCTGAAATATTTTGGCAAAAGAGCACAAGTCCAAGTTTTGAATTCAGGATTCAAAACAGAGTTCATGCACACACCTAGTTGAAAACTATTTGGAACTTCAGAATTGTGGCACTTCAGAATTGGTCACTCAGCAATGCTTCAAAAGGTTTGGGAATATGAATGTAGCATTGATTTGCAATTCTTGAAAGCAGTCATAGTCTTTCCTGGGATCACATAACAGGTACAGAGAACACCAGTGCAATGCCAGGGGGAAAAAAAAAACATAATTGCTTCAGAGTGTTGCAGACAGATGCTAAGTCCATATTCCCATTCACTCTAAAACATCTTTTGGAAACTGAATTCAAAATTCTACATACCATAATTTTTTTCAGATTAATTAGACAGTCAGCATGGTTGTTTCTACCCATCTGATCCTATCAGGAAGGATGGGCATGCTTCAGGTTCCACCAATCAAAGAATGTTGTGTGGTGGGGCCTTGAAGATGTGCCCTTTCTCCTGTGTTATCCAACTTGTGGAACATTTTACCTATGGAGAGCAGGATTACCTAGACCCTGCTGGTCTTTTGTAAGGTCCTAAAGATCTGATCCAGGCAAGTCCAATTCAGAGGGAATGAAATCACTGGAGGATGTTTACCTTGGTTTATGTTACAAAAATTCTGGATGAATATTTATGCAGTATTAAAAATTCCCAATTATTATTATTAAAACCAAATGCCAAACTATTTAGCAATAAAAGTAACATGGCGATTAGGAATGATTCATTAATGGAGAACATTATTGTGTCTAACTTATAGAGCAGACAGATGCTTGGCATCCCTTAGCATCTCTAACTATTGACACAATATAAGCAAGATTCCACCATCTAAACTCATAAGCAATCTCTTTATTTCTTGAGCAATTTGCACACACATTTTTTAAAAAGGACTATAAAGGACTATCCAGTTATTGTAGAGAAAGTACTAATTTGCTAATTTCTTCACAAGTAATTAATGAAAATATTAAATATTGAACAAAATATCTTGCAGTAAATTTAACATCTGCTCATAAGCATAATTGGTTTTGCAAGAGCCTTATGTAGTCCAAACACTAACCAAGTTGAAACAAATAAAACAGATTTTAAAACAGGTTTGAGAAAATCTGCATCTAATTAGCAGGTAGGCATCACAACTGCATAACATTTTATACATTTGTATTTATGAAGTAACAGAAGATCTAAGAACTTTTTAAAATGGCGTTTATTGTTCAAATAAGAACTGTGCTGCATACTAAAGTGATTTAAATCCTATAGAGCTGCTTTGAAAAAGATCATAAATGGTGAAACAAAACATGTGGAAAAACTGTAAAACTAGAAAGAATTTGCGACAGAAAACAGATCCGCATTCCATAACCAAAAGGAAACTACACTTAATTAAATGTACACTACATCTGCAATATCATCCTAACAAAGAGTGAAACTACTAATGTTCATTGTTCTGCAGTGAATGTGGCCATTGATTGTCATTTAACATTCACCCAACAATATTACACTAATACAATAAAGCATTCATTAATATATACAGTTTTCAGAAAGGTAAAAATGGTTGGGTCTTCTTCCTCTTCCGTCATAGAAGACGAGTTAAGTAAATAAGTTATACCCACTAGAAAACAAAACCAATTGCATTGCTGAAATTTTCCAAATTGCTAGTATGCTATATTTTGAGAATCAAATCAATCAATAACATTTTGTCTAATACCAGCATCAGTTATTCAAACCAAACAAAGATCCCACTGTTTTCAAATAATGGTCATTACAAGCTTACTAATTAAGAACAAAATAGTTCAAAATTAGACAGAAATAGTTAGAGAAGAGAACTGACAGAATTGCATATTTTTAATTCAATGGTGTATCTGCAGCTATCTCATATTGTTCAACATGAAATTAATCATATTGAATGAATTCATATTTGGTTCAAGAGGTTCCACTTCCACAAAATCTATGCTTAGCACACCAGTGGAATCTGGGCTGGACTGGAGAAGAGGAAAGTAACATAGTAAATGTGTATAGATATTTTACTGAAAGATATCCCATACCAATACTGTTGTTAAGACACAATTATCACACTATTGAAGTATATAACTTTTACACAACCCATAAATGAATTCTTTATTCCACCTAGTTTATACATTTCTTAAATCCAGCCATCAAGCCTAAGATGGTTTCCAAAGAACTGATATTTAACTATTATCAGACTCTTACTAGATTCTCAAAATCACATTCAGATTTATTGTTGAATGTATAATAAATAAAATGTGTAAACTATTCAATTCAGAAATAAGAAATATACAAGAATATATAGAGCCATCATAAAATACATGAAACTCACAACTCATAAACACATGCATCACAACAATCAGTACAGTCAATGTGCCACCAGACTATCATCTCCCCAGGCCTATTGGCAAGAAGCATGTCTAATAAAGGAGAATATTTGCCCCTCAGGGTTGACATGAGGATCCTTGGTGCTCTCTGAGGTTGCTTGTTTTCTTGCAGATGTTTCATTACCCAAACTAGGTAACATCATCAGTGCTCTGAAGCAAGTTTTTGCCTTGGAAAAAGCCAGTAGAATCAAAGCAAATCTGATCTCCAAGAGGATGATGTTCCACAAAGTGGGTGTCAAAGCAAAAAATACTATTCTATGAGTCCTGCAAAATGACATTCCTAGGGGGATGGCGTTTGCAATATGTGCCTCATGCTCGACCTGATGGGACAGGTATATGGGGAGAGACAGCCCCTCAAATAACTTAATTAGTTGCATAATTGCCGAAGGATGTAGCATATTTATTCAGTTCTGCTGCTTAATGATGGGTTTCAATTTAAATAAAACTAGAATTATTTTGAATAAATCTAAAACTATTAGGTTATAATGTTATTAGTTACAATTTGTTAATCAGTAGTACGTTCCTAAGTGAATAGCAACATAATTATACTTTGAAATAGTTTGCAATCCAGACTATAATATGACTTTTGTTTAAGACACAGGGTGTACTCAAGATAAAACTTATAGTTTTCTGAAACTGCCTGCAGATATGTAGGACATATTGATTAACGTTATGGACTTGTAGCCTAATATAAGCTCTAAATTGAAATCGACTGCAATTAAGGAATTTGTTGAAAAAAGATTTGTTGTGCTGCTTAATCAGTAACAAAGCAAATGGGATAAATGTATCTTTATAAATTTGGCTATTTAGTTTAAAAGTGTTAATATACTTTAAACTTTATGATTTAAACATTAAAGCATTACAACAGAAAGTATAATATTGA